ATAAGGAATCATTCTGTCAATTAGCCAACAAATATTTACTGAAGGCACACTAGTTGCCAGACACTGCTCTAGGAACTGGGGATATAGCTGTGAACCAACTCTAATGGGGATTATGTTTTAGTGGAGGGAGTTGAACCAAAAAATCAATGAGCAAATAAATGATCAGGGCAAGGAGAGACAGAGGAATACAGCATAGGGTGGGAGGCTCTTATTTTAGATAGGGTGGTCAGGGCAGGCTTCTCCAACGACAGGACATATGCACAGCACTCTGAATGAAGTGAGGGACCTGGACATGCACACATCAGGGGAAAAAACAGGCCTACCCGCTGCACGCTCCACCACCACCACCCCCGCAAGGGTACAGCAAGGGCAGAAGGCTCGAAGCAGGACCATGCTTAGCATGTCGAAAGAAGCATTTGGAGGCCGCGTAAGTGAAGAGCGTGAGCAAGGGGGAGATGTTAGAAGATGAGGTCAAGAAGGTGCCCTTACACCAGGTAGGGTCTTGTATCTAGTCAATGAACATTTGTATTTTATTCTCTCATAGGAAGCAGTCGGATGATTTGAGCAGAAGAGTGATATGAGTCTATCTGTATGTGGCTGCTGTGTTGAAAGAAGTCCAACAGACAAGACTGGAAGAAGGGAGACTGGTTAGGAGACCATGGCAGTGTCTCCATGAATAAGAGTGGAGGCCTGGGCTAGACTGACAGCAGTGGAAGTAGGAGAAGTAGAATCAGGATATATTTTTTATATCCACTAGGCTTTGCTGATAGATTAGATGTGGGTAGCAGATAAAGCACTTGGTACATAGTGTTCTTCAGTACCTGTTGATTTGGGGGTACTACACTGAGGCATCCTCCTCAAGAACACAGATTTAAAAGAATAAGACTAAAATCAGGACATAATGGCTCATAACCAAGATCTGCAGTGTCACCTTAACAAGACAGCCCAGGACCACTGCCAGCAAGATAAGTCCAGACCTCAAAGATTTTAATATAGCTAAAGAGGGATGTATCAGCCAAATGGGGTTTTTTATATATGAAAACATATACAAAAAGAGAACTACAGAGGCAGAAGCCGACTATACCTTTCCAAACGTCATCCAGAGTATGGGGACGCTTTGCCAAGCAATGTCAATTATTACAGTCCCATTGGCAAGGGCACCTCTAGTGTAGGGACTGATATAGGGGGTTGCAGCCAATGGTCTTCGAGTATCCTCGACTTTCGGCAAGATAAGCCTCACTGCGGAGATGGATGCTGATTTGTTGGTAAGTATGGCAGGCAGCAAAAAGGGAAATCTGGCCATTGCAATCACAATAGGGTCCAGAGAAAGGCTACTAACAGGAGAGAAGGCACTAAGACAAAAGGCAGACAAGTCAGGAACTCATTGTTCCTTGGCCCAGGTGGAAGAACTATGGTCAAACATCAGTTTTCTCTTCTATTGTACCCCCGATCTCTACTACCACCTTTAAATTAAAGGGCAATGAGATTGGTATGCATAGACATGCTTGGATAAAAGAGCACCGTGATAAATTTTTTTCTACCTTGGTGTTAAGTAGTGAAGAACCTGGTGGATTGTTTTCAACAGCTGAAATATCAACACTAAATTTTGTTAGCTCTTGCATAATTCAGTTTAAAAGAAAATTGTTCTTTGGAAATGGTATCCTACTGACTGACCCTAAAAAATACTTATTGTTTATTAATGCATGAGATTTATCAGGTTTCAGAAAACCAACCATTCCACATAAATGGATGTTTCACAGGACTGATTGCAACCTGCAGACACACCAATATTTTAAGTACGTTGACAACAATAAATCTAAAATAGATTACATTCTTTTCAGTGCCCTCTTAAACAGAGGGCACTGAAGATATTTCATCCTTTTTTTAATGAATCAGACTCATTATTATGAACATGAGTAACCATGATGCCCTCCGGAACCACTCACCTCCACAGAGCAACATGTTCCTGAACTAAATGGTCCCTTTTAACAATAAAATGTTACAGTAGTTCTTCTTTGATCCCTCCCTATCAAGGGATTACTTTCTCTTTTGGCTGCTGCTGGTATATCTGACTTTTGCAGAGCGCTATGGACTGAATTTTGTCCCCCTAAAATTCACATGTTGAAATCCTAACTCCCAATGGTATGGTGATGGTATTTGAACATGGGGCCTTTGAGAGGTAAGTAGGTTTAGATGAAGTCATGAGGATGGGACCCTCACGATGGGATTAGTGCCCTTAAAAGAAAAGACACCAGGGAGTTTGCTCTCTCTTTCTCCTCACACACGTGCTCTGAGGAAAGGCCACGTGAGAAGCTGACTGTCTGCAAGCCAGGAAGAGGACTAGGAAAAATAGGACTGCACCTTCACCTTGTTCTTCCAAGCTTCCAGAACTGGGAGAAATAAGTGTCTTGTTTAAGCCACCCCATCTATGGTATTTTATTATGGCAGTTCGAACTGACTACAACACAGGGCCACCACATTTCCATTTCCGAGTCACTACTTCTAATCTGCTATGAACCACTTGCCCAAATTTTGCTTAAAACAGAAGTTTGAATGTGATCCATGGAGGCTATTTCATTTATTTTGACTGCCTCAAGTTTCTTCATTATCCACTTTCAAATTCCAAGTTAAATCTTGGCATTCAGAAGTTCGGTATTTACATTTATTTTCTAGGCTTCTAAAAGCTGAAAACTGGTTAATAAAATTAAAAATCTGTACAGACCATAATTTGTTTGTTTGTTTTAAGGAAGGGAGAAAGTGTCCAACTGTCTCTCAGGTCTGAGTTAACAGAAGATTCTTAAAGTCCTCTTAAGTTCAGAGTAAGCGCTCTCTTTGAGAAATCATGATGATATTCTTTCTGACTTTTAGCATTTTTGGTGTGATGGCTGAAAGATTCGGCAAGGGTGGGAGCGAGGTGGAGGAACAAATATAAAATGTGTATGCTGGAATTTATTTTGTCTTCGGGGATACAGTTAAGATGGTATTTTTAGACATTCGGGAGTTTGGGAGTATTGGGGGCAAGGGAGGACTGTTGCTAATGAAACTTCTGGAATAATAGAAGTAATTAGTATGCAGTTCATGTCAAACATATTATTACTGTCGTTGGGTGACAAGATAAGCATAAACTGCAAAAGACTATTATTCTGAGAGTAAATGTGACTTCTGACCAGTTTTAGCATTTGTTCTGGATAGGGGAAGCTATTAGCTTGCAGTAGGGGTCAGGGGAGGCTCCCTTGAGCTGGTTTTTTTCCCCTGATTTTTAGTAGGTGGCTTAATAATGATTGGTGAAGATGCTTAACAGAATGGAGTCAAGGAATACCTGATGAGGACCCTGCTTGGGAGATAAAATTTTAAGATTGTCAATTGCTAATAAGGCCCCAGAGAGGAAAAAAATGTACTTTGCAAATAATGACTTGTTATTTCATGTACATTTTATGCTGTGTATATATTATAAGGACTCCAGGATACAAGAGAGGGAAGGAGATAGAGTTTAGTTATAATAGGAACATTTATTTCAACTTCCACCTTTGGAGCAGAGCCAAGCGCATCGTGTGAGCAATATGTACAACGAATGCAAATATTCTATAAGTCAGTTTTAGGAGCGGCAATTGAAAAATGAAAAATAAAAAAGCAAGAAAGAAAATTATGTGATTCCCCCCTGCCTGTTTTATAAGGACGAGGTCCTATGTAGAAGTACCATTAGGTGCCTACGATCTCTCCCCCAGCAAATTTTCTAACCTGGCCAAGCACAATAGCTTAGACATAGTGGGGCAGCTCAAATGTTTGTGCAAGAAATAGCTACATTTGTAAGAGTTTACTAAGCACTTTCACCTAAATTATTACAACAGTCTCCTACGAGATTGCAATACTCTTAATAATTTGTAGATAAGGAAGGTGAAACTCAAGAAGTTAAATGCTTTCCCCAAGATCAAATAGCCAAGGAAGATCCAAGAGGGGTCTCCAAGTTAGATCTGACTCCAAATTCAATGCTCTTTCCACTGACTGCCCAGAAACAATATACACCAAACTAGAGGAATGTTCATCCCCCAGCACTGGGCTTGACCACAGCCTGGCAACACGATAAAAATGAGCTCCAGAGTTAACAATCCACATACAAATAATTGGTTTCACACAACACCTTCTATCTCCCAACTTACTTCAAATGCCTCAGTCCACCCAAAAGTAGAGTCACATCCTGGCTTAGAAAGAGCATTTCATCATGCACCCATCATGAACCCTTATTCACTGGAAAACTACGTATTTGCTCAAGAGGTCTTTGACTACCACTCATCGCTCAGTTTTCAATTGGTTGTCTGTTGGTAGCCCCTGAAATGACAGAACTTGTTTGCAGTGAATGACAGGGTTATTTCCAGTGAAGCTCAAGTTTATGAACTAGTAAGACCAAAGGTGTAAAGTGAGATTGAAAATGCCATCACAGGGACTTCCCTGGTGACACAGTGGATAAGAATCCACCTGCCAATGAAGGGGACACAGGTTCGATCCCTGGTCCAGGAAGATCCCACATGCCACAGAGCAACTAAGCCAGTGCGCCACAACTACCGAGCCTGAGCTCTAGAGCCCGCGAGCCACAACTCCTGAAGCCCACGTGCATAGAGCCCATACTCCACAACAAGAGAAGCCACCGCAATGAGAAGCCCGTGCACCACAATGAAAAGTAGCCCCCGCTCGCTGCAACTAGAGAAAGCCCATGCGCAGCAACGAAGACCCGACGCAGCCAAAAATAAATAAAATTAAATCTTAAAAAAAAGAGAAAATGCCGTCACATCGGTTTTAAAGGTTTTTCGAAGTTTAAAGATTTTTCAAAGCATGCACAAGAATCACCAAGTTACTCATATATGTCATTAGTTTGAATGGAAAAATAATTTCAAAAGCTACTTTTCCATGCAGATTTTGATCTAGAGTTTTGTTTTCCAGAAACTTCTTATTTCAGCTCCACCTGGAGAGTTTTCTATTCTATTCTACCACACAACCTGACTTACCTCCACCGAAAGGTCCTGAGGATTCCCGGGGTGTCTCCCTTCCTTGAGTTGCTTTGGCCTTCTTGTGTAAATCCATCAAGGCTGACAGTTAACACATGGTCATCTGTCATTTCTTCATATACAGACGTCATTTGTTCCTTGTCAAGACTGTACCTTTCCTGCGGATAAGTACTGCGTATTAGACGTTTCGTACTGTAACAAAACCCTATAGACAGATAAAGTAACTGCATCAGGTCTTTAAAATAGGGGGTATTATTATATGGTGGGAATTTGGAGGTAAATTTAGAAGTATCACTGATTACACAGTGATAGAAGGGTTGAGAAGCCAAAAAGAGTAAGGCAACCCACAGGTTAGCAACTGTAGGAATACTCTATTGTTTTTAGGGGTGGGGGAAACAATGGGAGGAGATATGTTACCACAACCCAGAAGCCAGAGCCTTTCAGTAAGAGCTAGACCATGAAGGAGACCCAGCTACTGCCAGAGACACCAAAGGAAGCAAAAATAGAGGTAAGAATACCCTGACATCTCTGCCCTACTCTCACCCTCCAATTTTCTACCAGGGCCTTCTTTGGGTACACCTACTTGGAAGCCAAAGAGTCAGAGAGCCTGTATTGTGACACAAATCAGAATGAGAAAAGGACCCGAGAGTAAACAAAGAGCTTACAGAAACAGCGATTAATAAATTCTTACTGGTAGATATAGAAATCAATTAATCCATAAGCAATCATTGTATATTACAATTCAAGTTGCCCTTTAAAAATGATTAGTAAAAAAGACTGTAGGATGAGGGATTGTTTAAGATGTGTAGAATAGGCTTTTGCTTCTAGTAATGGAAGACCAGCAGATCTGGACCAATCTTCTTTCTGAGGATAACTAATGTACACACACATATTCATAATACACATATATTTATTCTGCTTGAAAGCATTGGACAGTTAATGAGATAGTAAAGATCTAATGTTTGGGTTTTTCCTCTGACGGAATTTACCAATTCAGGAAGAGGCAGCCAAAGGGCTACGCAGCACTTTTAGCAGTTTCATGGAGATAAAAATCACAAATGTTGTAGTCTTGGACTTGGTAAGAGAGCCTAGGTCACCCTAACAGAGTGACCCAAAGGAGACTGGTTCTTGCAGCAGTTTCAGCTCAGCTTTGAATCATCTTCGTCCCTGAAATTGGATTAAGATGATTCCAGATTCAAGAGCTGCCAGGCATGTAGCAGAAGAAAACATAAAGCTTCCCTACAGAAAGAAATTATCCTACACATCAAATTATTTCTACAAATAATTTTTCAATACAGTTTCTGAAACCCAAAGATATAGTAGCAAGAAGACAAGAAAAAGAGACATAGAGCCAACAGACAATGGAAATAGACCCACAGTGGATCCAGGTATTAGATTTATCAGGCATGAACTTTAAGATAACTATGGTTGCTAAATGTTGATAATTGTTGAAACTGGGTAATGGATTCTTGGGAGTTCTCATACATTTTCCTCTACTTCAGTACAGACTGTGAAGTTTTCATGACAAACAGAAAAAAGTCTATGAATCAATCCAAAGAGAATCTTAGTTGGCTCTTTTGATACCACCACATCAATAATACATTGAATACCATTGTCCAGGGAAACATCACATCATCTTTCTGACATTCATCAAAGTATGGTATGTCATGAATAGCAACAAAATATAGAAAGCATAAAAACAAAACTATGCTTGCTCTTCTAAGGAGTTAAACGACCAGATTATGAATTCAGCACAGAATAGAATTTATTTTTAAAGGACATTTCAAATTGAAAAAGAACTAAGTAGAAATTCTAGAATCAAAAAATACAATCACCAAAATTAAGACCTCAATGGATCAGTTTAGAGCAATTTATACAGAATAGAAAAAAGACTTAATGAACTAAAATTAGTGAATAAAGTAAGAAAAAAATACTTAACATACAGAGACAAAAAGCTGGAAAATATTTTTTAAAGAGGGTAGAAAAAATAGTGAGAAACTCCAACATGCTTCCAGAATCCTAGAGAGAAAGGAAAGAAAAAAATGAGTCCAAAATAACACTTTAAGAAATAGTGGCTGAGGGCTTCCCTGGTGGCGCAGTGGTTGAGAGTCCACCTGCCGATGCGGGGGACACGGGTTCATGTCCCGGTCCGGGAAGATCCCACATGCCGCGGAGCAGCTGGGCCCGTGAGCCATGGCCGCTGAGCCTGCGCGTCCGGAGCCTGTGCTCCGCAACGGGAGAGGCCACAACAGTGAGAGGCCCGCGTACCGCAAAAAAAAAAAAAAGAAAAAAAAAATAGTGGCTGAGAATTTTCCAAAATGATGAAAAACAATAAACTGTGGATTCAAGAAGTCCTGTGAACTCCAAATAGGATAAATAAGGAAGTCCTCGCCTAGGACTTTACTAGGCAAATCACAGTAAAACTGCTGAAAGCCAAAAACAAAGAGAAATTTTAAATGCAGTTAGCATACAAAGAGAATTGCTTTTAAAGAAGCAACCAGACCAACAGCCATCTTCCCAAAACGTGAAAATGAATGCCGAATGAAACTGCTTCAAAGTAGTTGCTCTTTGAGAGGCACAAGGAGTGACTGGGAAGAGACAAGAGGAGGACCTAAGGGCTGCTCTCAATATTTTACTTCTTGACTTTGGTGTGCTTACATAGATATTTACTTCATGAGTAACCACTGAGCTATATATTTATGTTTTGTGTACTTTTCTGTATGTTTGTAATAGTTCATAATATGTTTAAAAAACAGACTGTGGTAAAAAGAATTCTAATTATTAAATAATCATGCAATAACTGTCATGCTGTGCTTAGCTCTATTTGAAAGCCAACTTTCTTGTACAATAAAATTTTAGGCTACGGAAGGAAAATCCTGAATATCTGAGATAAAAAAGTTTTAGGAGGCCCAGGTAGGTAACTAAAACCAGCCTATCCTCTTCTTCCTTATTTGTGATCCTGAAGAAGCCTGATTCTAATGACCAAATAAATATGCTAATCACAAACAGCCGCGACAATAATATGTTAAATACGCTTTCAAAGTGCTTAGTTGAAATCTTTGAAAGCCATTTGCCTCCAAATATATACTATATTTAACTATACACCATCTGCTATTATTTGTTTGTCCAATTTTACATTACAAAATTTAATAAATAAAGGGGCAAGACTAGGTCTTTTACAATTATTTCATCATTAATTGTACTACCTTTGATAGCTGGCTTTTCTCTAGAATAAAATATGTATACGCTATCAAAATTATAGGATAGAAATGGATTGATGCCATTCGTTCTCGAGTAAGCTGCATCCATGCTGCTTGTCATACTCCCCAGCATTGCCATGAAAACACAAAAAGCTAACTGCATAGAGTAAGAGTTTTAATTGACGAGTACCTGACCATTACAGAAATTTCTACTTCCAGAAGCATCCCAGCTGACATTGTTATAGAGTAACATAACTGAAAAGAGTGGGACTAATTGGAACAATTAATTAAAAATACATAATTAGCTTCCACGGCAGAGATATTTTTTTAGTTCTTACCCTCATCACTTGAGGCCTGGGAGGATTTTATAGAGTCTTATCACATGGGGGTTGTCTGTGCTGATAATTAACTAGGAGAGACTGGGAAAGAGGGGGAGAACTCACAGGCCAACCAGGTGATGGAGTCTGGCCCGTTTCCTCTGGGATGAGCCAGGAACAGAGCAAAGGCCAGGAGCCTGAATGACAACACAGGATGGGGTCTAAACGAGAGCCCCAGAAACTGAGAGGTTTAATTCTCTTGCCAGTTCCTCTGTCGGTATAGAAGTAAGGTAACTACTTACTACCTTGTCTACTTCCTAAGAATGTGGAGAAGACTCAGCAATGACTTCAGTATTGTCAGGGAAGAACACTGCCCCTTTGCAATTGACCATCACTGCCACCCAGCCTGAGGTTGGGGGACTTCAAGGTTTGGCAGCGGGTTTCTAGAAAAAAATCTGATTTCTTTGGTTCCAAGTCTGAATGATAAGAAGGAGTCAGAACATCTCTAGAAGGACATGAAGAGTCAAGAAAGGGACATAGTCTCCTCCACTCACATCCTGATCTCACAGGGAACTGACCTAGCTCTCACCTGAAACATGCAGAGAATATACCAATGAGCCTGGGGTACAGGGTAGACCACAAAAATTCCTTTTATATATTTAAAATCAAGATGTCAGGGTGAAGCCTGCACCCAGTTATCAAGCCACAAAGGAAGCTGAAAGTGAATAAGTAAAAAGGAAAGTTTCTTATTAGTAAGAGCCTTCTCTGGGAGGAGGTCACTACATGATCTCATGTGTCCACGTGCAAAGGACCTACCTGGGTTTTCCTTGGCACCCTTTTCCTGGGCACTCTGCTAGGAAGTAACATTCTACATAGGCTCGCTTCCTTCCATGATCAATCTCTGTTCCAATCAGATGGAGCTAGAATCATGGTGACAGGCTATGTAAAGAGGACGCTCCAGAGAACAAGTAATATGACTTAGTCTCCAAAGAAAGCTCTTTGTCATAGCTGTTTTCACGGTCCAGTACATGTTACATCTGAAAAAGACGATGAACTGGGTGATTCTTGGTTACAAATAAACCAGGTCTTTGCTTCAGCAGTTTAGCTCAAGCCCAGAATTGTAAATACCTGTTTTTACATGATACTTCCACAGACCTAAGATGACAAGTATAGGGGCAAAATACGGATCAGTTCTATAAATTCCTACACATTTAATAGAAATAAATCGTGAACAGCTAGAAAACAACACAAAACCAGTCTAAAAATCACTTAGCTAAAAATTTGAAATAGGTAAAGCTAGTGATGATTATATGGAGGAAAAGGTTAAATTTACCTTTATTTTCCCTCTTGACTCAACACTTAGCTACTATAGCAATGACTGGATGCTTGGTACATTTCTCTTTAACCTCAAACATACTTGCATTTTCTTTGCCATCCTCTAGTTGAACTCATATAAATCACATCTACTTGTGCTCAGTAAATACGTTCATCACATAGCAATCAAAAATTTATGATGCTTCAGTGACTGATGAAAAATGCCAAAACATTTTAATTGTTTTATATACCTGTGGCTTCAAGCTCACTCTAACAAAACCAATTAAGGCACTGGCATAACATTTGGTAGCACAGAACAAATAGATGTAACCTCAAATTACATTCATTCCCACAACTATGTCGGTCATTAAAGATGAGGGAAATTGTGTCAAATTAGAGTAATACAGATGGACTTAGAGCAAAAGAGGTACCAATATCCTGCTTAGATATCAGCTTCCCCACCTTACCAGGATTGTAAAAGACAGAAATCCGCAAGAAACGAGAGCAAAAAGGAAGCAAACAACTATTATTATGTGTGTCTGTGGGCCCAAAATCAATAGTGAAAAGCTTGGAGAAGTTGGTATAAACAATAACTTCCCATTTTTTTCTATTTGAATTAAGCCGAAATAGCTTTAGACTAAAGCAAGCTGACCTACCAGCATAGGCAGAGACATAATCAGAGACAGACAATAAGAAGCAGTGACTTTCCCCAGTTCTTAGCCCCAAAACTGGCCCAAATCTGACCATTGCCGAAGGGAGAAGAGAATAAAAGGCAGATAACGAGATAGCTTGGCCTTGCCCCCTGTAGGAATGGTCTTGGACTTTAAAATTCAGCTCTTATACAGAAGAAATAGGAAATAACAAGCTACGATCAATGGCTAAACGTGATACTGACTAATATCTGCGTGAACCAGGAATGCTCTCAGCTGAGTGTAACAGAAAATCCATCTAACATTGACTCAAATAACAGCATGTTTACTTCCCCAAAAAAGTCTGGATGCAGGCAATAGTTAGTGTTGGTCCACCAGCTCAAAGATAGCAGAGCCATGTTTGCTATTCACTTGGTCTTTCTCTCGGGTCTGTTACCTCATGGTTGCAACATGGCCATCAAACTCTAGACGTCACATCTAAATTCAAGGCTAGAAGGGAAAGGGGTTCCATTATCACTGCACTTTTATTTGGAAAATGAAACTCCCAAATCTGCCAGCAGAATTTTGTTCACATGTAGTTGGACAAAACTGTATCATAGGGTCACTCTTGGCTATAAGAGAGTACTGGGGATGTGGCAAAGGGACTTCTCCTTCTTGGGTAAGAGTGAGGTGTGGCGCCAGGGGCA